GTCTGGAAACACCAGACGGCCAACCGTTGCCTCGAACCTGGAATGTAGATAATCTTAAGAAACATTTCTTTTGAATAATATAAAAAGTCGAGGGCTACTTAATAAAAGTTTGATGTTTCATTCTATTTTGTACTAAGAGGGGCATGCCTACTGACAAACATTCGGCTACTCTCCATGTTTAATTTTCATTTTTACTTAAGAGGGGCATGCCTACTGACAAACAGTCGGCTACTCTCCATGTTTAATTTTCATTTTTACTTAAGAGGGGCATGCCTACTGACAAACAGTCGGCTACTCTCCATGTTTAATTTTCATTTTTACTTAAGAGGGGCACGCCGCTTGTTCCACACAACCGACTACTCTCCCACAACACAGTTCATCAAGAACTATCAAAGGCTCATAGCTAAAATGATCAGACCAGGCGCCAAGCCAACTGATCCAAATATAAGTTTAATTCGACATGTCCCAACATTATAGCAGGCGTCCGACGGCATCCATCCGGATGAAATTCGTCGCAGAGAGCAGCTCCCTTTTGGGTGGAACATTGTTCTATAAAATCATTACACGGCACCTATACGACTGTCTAACAAAGACAACCACGTAGCCGTTTCCCGGACAAGGATACCTCTCACTTAACTGACTAATCAGGACAAACAAGTGTTCGCAGTAACCATCCGGGTCAACCAACCGACTGAACTACTTGGGATAAGAACAGTCGGTCTCTTAAGAGTAAATAGACAACAAACATTGGCGAATAAAGGGGAACAACCGGTACCCACCGCTTGATACCTCTACTACTCAGTCACTTGGCGACTAGGTAACAATTATGTTTACTTGGTCACTCCTTAAAAATTTAGTATGAAACTAAAAAGGTGCTCATACAGCGCCTGTTCACACTAGATTAAATGTGGCGGGGAACAGTCGGCCTGGACCGACTAGAGTCTCTAGCTTAAAAAACAAAAAAACAAACAAGGCAGGTAGGAAACCACCTTCCTACTTGGTTAAAGGAGATCCAGTCTTTAAGTGGCCGACTGATCGCTTAGCCTGGAAACAGACAACCAGTCGTCCAGGGGCATAGGTGGCGTGACTACCTGTCCGCAACTATCGGCCATGCAAAATAGTTGGTATAGTATGCAATCGGATATCAGAGTTTCGATACTTAAACAAATTTGAAACAAAAGCCATGCAAAACAGTCGGTATAGTACGCAATTGGAAATCAGAGTTTCGATACTTAAACAAATTTGAAACAAAACAAAAACGAAATATTTTGGCATAAAAAAGAAGCCGGTCATTAAAGACCGGCCAAATATTCAGAACCCCGGCCCCCTGGCCAGGTAAACAGAAACAAACGGCACGCAGGCCGTGAAACGAAGACATAAAGCTTAAGAAGGGGGCAGATCTTCAATAGTAGCAGCTGTCGCCTGGTAAGCACTCTTTTTGCTGGACTCGGCTTCAGCTGCATCCTTCTTCGATGTATTCCCCCCAAGTGGCACAAGCGCCACTACCGGCTCCTCCTCCTCCAACGCCTCGTCCTCAACAGCCGCCAGGATCTCTTGATTATATCAATCAGAACACTGGCGGTACGTTTTTTCCCAGGAGGAAAAGTCGGCATTGGGGAAGAGGCGGCCCCAGGTCAGGAGCTGGATTTGGGCAAAGTCTTCCATCATCTCTCGGACCAGCTCCTTCTTTTCTTGCTCGGCCTTTTCCGAGAGCTCCTGAGTAAGACTCTTCTCTTGGGTCACCAGGCGTTCCTTAACGTGCGCTAAGGATTTCTCGAAGGTGTCGTATGAGGACATTTTTTGGCGAAGAGGTCTCAGCTCGGCCTTGAGATTGTTGATGGTCGCCTCCAGCTCGTTATTTTTCTTCTGGGCCGCCTCTAACTGAGCCCGGATAGCAGAAGTAGCCTGCGCCTGATAATAAAGAATGTCAATTGTCATAACCTCATTTTGGACAATTTGAAACATTGCCTTATCACAGTCAGAGGCGACCATAGCTTTTCCAGCCTTTACCTCTTTGTTCTTCCTGTCAAGAGGCTTGCGAAGGTCGTTCACTCGGAGCAGGACCTAAGTAAAAGAGAACAGGTGTCAGTTTTCAAACAAAAAACAGGCGTCCTGGAATTTAAATAACCAAAAATATGCTAAGAATACCTCAGCAAGGACCCCTGCAATCCCGTCTAGGTCAAGGGTGCCGACACCCCTGACCGCCTCCCTCTTAGCCGGAGGGACGACTTTGATCATAGACTTGGCCACCTCGACCAAAGCTGGCTCCTGAGGGCCGGCTGCATCAATCATAAACAAACGGGTTAGACCTAGTAAAGAAGGGAGCAAGTCTAAATTCACAAAGACAGCTTCATACTTCTAGGCGGCCCGATTGGAGTTTTAGAAGGAATGGACGGCTGTTTCTAAGCCGTCGCATGTTTCCTGGCAGAACCAGGAGAGCTCGCAACAGTCGTCCTCCAGGTCTTGGAGTCCGGCTGTTGGGAAGAAGAGGCTCTTGGAGTGCCCGTCTGAAAAAAAAAAAAAAAAAAAAAAAAAAAAAAAAAAAAAAAAACAACAACACTCGGTCAGTATATGCATATACCAAACTCCAAAAAGAGAGTGAAAGGTTCAAAGCTGACCAAGGGCGCCCCCTTTTTGGGGGAGTCGGTTGAGGACTTTTGCATGATAGAGGCCCGCAACATGGCCGCCGCAGTCTTGGAGGCAGTAATTTTGCTCATGGCGTCCGCTGCAAAAACAAATAGCAAAGTTAATAAAAAGTCATAACAGTAATTCATGGAAAAACAGAGTATTCGATAGGCCGACTACCTCTTGAGCACCGACTGCTGAGGCCACAGGCGGCCAAAAAGTACTCGTCGTAGAGCCATTTGAAGCTCGGGACGCAGTGCAGGGGTACTTGCTCTCGTACCCCTGAAGTAGAGTCAACCCTCGACTCTACTTTAAAGAGTCCTTTATCTAGGATCTCTTTCTTAGCTTTGGGGGGAACAGGCGGCATGCTACGGCCGCCTGCAAGAAGAGGCGGATTCCTGTTCCACCTGTTGAAGCGCTTGTTCAGCTCTGTGTCTGAACTCTCAATGATAAGGAAGGTGCTTCGCCAGTCCTTCCACTTGTTTGCTGTTTGCTTTACCTCTTGTTATGAGGTAGCCTCTATGGCTCGTCAATTGATACCAGCTGGTACCGCCTGCCTTAGGGGTCCGGCTGAGGTAGTTCATGTGGGCGAAAGCCTCGAAGTTTGGCTCCACCCCGTGCAGTTCGCACCCGGCCACATAGCCGAGTACGTTGACCTAGGAGTTCGGGGCTAACTGCCATAACCCCAACTCATACCCATCTAAGATCCGCTGAACAGCCGGATGTAGTGGGAAGCGCAGCCCAGCCTTGATGGCCGCCTCGTAGCAGCCAAAACAAGCGCCATCATAACTAGTACCAGCCGGCCAGACGACTGTGTCTTTTGGATCCGGCACGAAAACTAAAAAGCCGGGGCCCATTGTGTGGTTCGCAATAAAGCTCCCCACTTTCTCTTGCATGGCCGTGATCCGGCCCCGTGGGACAGTGCAGTAGTAGGGGGTATTTTGCTCTCGGTGAGAGGCGGATGGCTCCGCCCAATTGTCCCCCTTCTCAACTGCGTGAGAAAGCCTCGCCTTTTGTAGGCGGCTGTTTTTCTCTTCCGTGTCCAGAAAAGCATGACCAGAAGAGCAAGACTCGGATTCGTCCTCTGACGAGTCCGAAGAGGACGACTTCTCTCCTCTCCCAGTGGGGCCCACCTCCTCTCCTTCAAAAGGAGCAGGAGAGAATGTAGACTTGTCAAATATAAAATTGGAAGGGGTCACTTTGACTCCTCCCTCAGAACTACTGGCTTTCAAGCCGCTTTGGTTCACTTCCACATCTGGCGCCTGGTCATATGTTTCACTAATCGACACCCTGTGGGAGGAGCCGTCTGAGTTCGAAATCCTAGCAGTTCTTTTTGTTCTGGCCATCATGTTCTGCATAGACACAGAGATAGTCGGACTTTGTATAAAGGGCAAAGATGGGTCCGGAAAAGGGCAGGCGGCACTCCTAGTGCTAGATTCAGCCGTCCCCGATGACCGGCTGATTACTAACCTAGGTCGTGTCGTGTGCTTCCGTGGTGCCACTTCAAAAAAAAAAAAGAATAAAATAAAGAAAAAATTAAGAGTAAGAGAACCGACGGTTACCTGAACGAGTGAAGTTGATGGAGTTCTGAAAAATCCTGTGCAGTCGGCTTGTCAGAGCAGGCGGTAGGCAGAAAGGGTCCAAAATGTCAGAGCAACTTCAGGGGTCCGAATGTTCTCTCTAAAAGTTCTCAAGTGTGAAAATGGCTGAAGTCAACACTCCCTTATATAGGCGAAGTGAGAAGGCGAAGGGTCACTTCCAAAATTAAAAATTTGGGCAGGAGAATCTCTCGGCCTTTTGCCGAGTAACACCTGTAGCAGGCCGTCGCCTGTTACAGTGCGACACCTGTCATAGGTATCCCGTGACCAGTCACATGCCACCTGTGAGGGGAAAATGATTAGGGGATTTTGCTCCCACCAATCGAAATGCGCCACGTGGGCCAATCAGGTCCTGCCAAGTGTCCCCTAGTTGGAACTGTCAGGGTTTGCCACGTGGCACACGCCTATTCGTCCACCCTGGACCTAGTATTGGCACGTTTCCCAAGGTTATAAATACCTCCCTTAATCCTCATTAAGGGGGATTACGCACATTTAACACTCTCACCTAGAGAGACCCAATCACTTTTATTTTCGCATTAATTACTCCTTAATCAAGTACTAACTTGACCGTCGGAGGCGGATCTCCAATCATCAGGAGCATCAGTTTTTTTTGCAGGTACAGGCGTCCGGTTCTAGTCTCGGAATTGTAACTCTCCCGCAGGACATCAGAAAACCCCGAAACACCTGGCAGATCATCTTAGAAATTATCTTATAGATCATCTTAGAAATTATCTTATAGATGACATTATAGCATGCAATTGGTCTAAACTGGCCTACTTAAGTTGCATTATCAACTTTAGGGATAAGGGTAAGGAGTGTATTATTCACCTGTTTAAGTAATCTGCCATGCCTAAAGAAATCAAGTACTGCATTACACAAATCTTCTCCCACAATATTCCAAGCAGCCTTAAAAAAGCCACTAGAAAACCCATCTAGACCTGGAGCTCTGTTATCATCCATACTCCATAATGCACTTTTCACATCCTCAACACTGAAGTCTCTGCATAACTGACTACCCTGATCAGCACTCAACACAGGCCCCTCAACAATGACACTCTGATGAAGCTTCCAGACAGCATCTGAATGAGTACCTAGCATGCCTTTGTAAAAGTCAATGAAAGTATCAGCAATTTCCTTAGGGTCATTAGTAACCTCACCATCCTTTTTTTGAATGCTAAACACACTGTTTTGCATCCTCCTTTTCCTGATGCAAGCATAGAAGAAAGCTGTATTCATATCACCCTCTCTAGCCCAATGAGCTTTAGCCTTCTGTTTGAGGAACTTAAGCTTAGCATTGTGAGCTTCGCTGAATCTCTTTCTAGCCTCCCCTTCTCCAGCAATGAGACTTTCATCTCTGGGATTCTTGTTTAAGTTACATTAAGCCCTGGACAGAACCTTAGCAACCTTAGCCTCCTCATCTTCAACATGTGATCTCAGCTGGGAGTTAATATCTTTAAGTCTAACCTTAACTCTCTTCAAATTCTGGATTAGTTTAAACATAGCAGTGCCTTGACCATCATACTGCCAAGCCTCAGCAACCACCCTGGCAAAGCCTGCACATTCAGCCCAATGATTAAAAAATTTAAACGGTTTTTTACCTCCCCCTACATTTTCAAGAAAAGTCACCACACAAGGGCTGTGGTCCATTAATCCTTCAGGCAGAAATTCAGCATGAGCATGCTGAAATACTGAGCACCACCTATAATTACCAAAAACTCTATCAATCTTGGAACACACCCTATCAGCTCCCTCCTGCTTATTGTTCCAGGTGTAAAACATCCCACTAGACTTCAGCTCTAACAAACTACTATTCCTGACACAAAGTCTGAAATTCTCAACCTCAGATAAAGACACAGCAGACCCAACTCTGTCCTCAATGTTCAGAACATTGTTGAAATCCCCTCCTACAATCCAAGGACCATTCACACAACTACTAATATGACTAATTCTATCCCACAGGTGCTCCCTCAAACCTGGGTTGTTAAACCCATACACAACTGTATACCAAAACAAAATCCCTGTACCTTTATGAAGAGCTTTCAAGTGAATAAACTGAGCATCAACCTCAACAATATCCACATAGAACAAATCCGGCTTCCAAATAACCCAAATTCTACCATTAGGGTGCTTGGAATAATTGGCACTAACAGCCCAATCACCCCCAAAATTAGCAAAAACAGAACCAAACTTCACTGTCTTAACCTTAGTTTCAAGAAGCCCAAACAAACTGATATTATGATGTTTTAAAAACCATAAAACATCACAGATTCTATCAATTTGGTTGAGACCTCTTACATTCCAAAAACCCAAACTATTCATGATAAGGGTTGGAATGAACTCCACCCCCCTTACTTCCAAACAAAACACTCTCACTGCCAACAGTCTTCCATTCTTTCTCAGAAGGGGTTACCTGAGCATACAGTTCCCCATTAGACCTGAATAATTCACCATCCTCCTTATCACCTATCCTACTCAGGATTGAGAAACACCCTTCAGTCCTCTTCACCTTGTTATTATCAACAACTTCCTGAGACTGAACCTTATAATCATTTCTAACAGGCCTCCACACTTTCTGAGTCTGAGCAGGTAGATTACTTCTCTTAGGAACCTTTAAGTTAGGACATAGATCAATCCCATGTCCCATACCTCCACATTTAGAGCATATTATAGGCTTCTATTCATAGACAATAGCCTGACTCACCCAGCAACCATTCTCATCCATGAACTCAATGTTCTCAATGAGCTTAGTCCCAATCTTCACTTCAACAAGCAGTCTTGCATAAGCAATGAGTTCTTTCGTAGCAATGGCTCTATCCATATTGAGAGGCTTCCCAACTAAACTACCAATCTTCATCAAAGTGGATTGCCCCCAAAATCTGAGATCAAGCCCAGGAAGCCTGACCCAAACAGGGATAACCTCAACCTTTTCCTCTGTTAGATCCAACCCAGGCACCCATTTCTTAGCAATCACTGGGTTTTTGTCAAAGAACACAGGCCCAGCATTCAATGCTCTTTCTCGACCTGCATACTCCTTAAATCTTACTACAAAAATACCATTGTTCATTGGGCAAATCTTATCTACCCCAAATTTTCCCCATGTCCTACAAATAAATGCTAAGAAAGCCACATTAGTAGGCTTACCACATAAAACATAGCAAACAATCGAACTATTTCAGTAATAAATTTCAGGTTTCACATCATCCATTGTTAATTTCAAGAAGCTTGAACTCCCACCATCATCCTCATTTTCCTTAGAAAATTCTTCAGGACAACCAAAATTCATCCACTCATCAGTAACAGAATCAAACTGAGCTCTCCAATTTATGTCCGATTTCTCAGGATTCCCAAAAACAGGGTATCTAGTGTTAGGGGTGCAATTATTATCATTAGCCGAATTAGAACCCAGATTACCATTACATAACATCATGATTGGAGTAGGATTAATCACATTTGAATGAATGTTATCATCAGAGTTCAAATTACCAGCAATCACATTCTCTGTTTTTTCCTCACACAACAATGGAGGTGAGGAAGAGTGAATTACGTTGAGCCATTGATTAAATTGTTCACAATACAACTCCTTCTCCTCCTCTGAAACCTCCTTGATAGGGACTTCCTGAATCGAAGACTTCTCCAGCCAGCTTTCAATGGAACAGTGCATCGAACCTACGCTTACACTCTCATCTTTCTTAGTGAACTTCTTCGCACTTGGAGGTGACTTCTTCTTCTTATTCTTGGATTTGGAATTAGAAGCTTTCTTGGTCTTCTTCCTCTCCTTCGCCATTACAGAACCTTCAAGAGAGGTGGCGGGAAACGCCCCTAACAAAAACACACACGCGTTTCTTGCTTTCTCTCACTTTCTCTCTCTAGAATTTCATTTGATTCAATTAGAATTTCTTACTTTCATTTGATTCAATAAGCTTTGTTGAGTGCATTAGGCTTTCATTTGATTTAAAAATCTTTGTAAGAATGTGATTGACTTTCACTTGATTTAATTACTTTTTTCATTGCATTTGACTGTCATTTGACTCAAAAGGATTTGTTTGAATGTTCTTGACTTTCATATGATTCAATTAGCATCGTTGAATGGATTTGACAATCATTTGATTAAAAAAGCTTTGTTTGAATTTGTTTGACTTTCAGTTGATTCAAATCGCTATTTTGAATGCATTTTACTTTCATTTGATTGAAAAAGCTTTGTTTGAATGTGTTTGATTTTCATTTGATTGAATTAGCCTTGTTTGAATGTGATTAACTTTCATTTGATTCATTTAGCTTTTTTTAATGCATTTGACTTTCATTAAATTCAAAAAGCTTTGTTTGAATGTGTTTAACTTTAATTTAATTCAAATAGCTTTGTTTGAATGTTTTTGACTTTCACTTGATTTAAATACCTTTTTTGAATGCGTTTGATTTTAATTTCATTCAAATAGCATTGCTTGAATGTGTTTGACTTTCATTTGATTCAATAAGCTTTGTTGAATGCATTTAACTTTCATTTGATTTAAAAAGCTTTGTTTAAATGTGTTTGACTTTCACTTTATTTAATTACTTTTTTTTAATTGCATATGACTTTCAGTTGATTCAAAAAGATTTGTTTGAATGTGCTTGACTTTCATGTGATTCAATTAGCATCGTTGAATGGATTTGAAAATCATTTGATTCAAAAAGCTTTGTTTGAATTTGTTTGACTTTCACTTGATTCAAATCGCTATTTTGAATGCATTTTACTTTCATTTGATTGAAAAGGCTTTGTTTTAATGTGTTTGATTTTCATTTGATTAAATTAGCTTTGTTTGAATGTGATTAACTTTAATTTGATTCATTTAGCTTTGTTTAATGCATTTGACTTTCATTTAATTCAAAAAGCTTTGTTTGAATGTGTTTAACTTTAATTTAATTCAAATAGCTTTGTTGAATGTTTTTTACTTTCACTTGATTTAAATACCTTTTTTGAATGCGTTTGACTTTAATTTGATTCAAATAGCATTGCTTGAATGTGTTTGACTTTCATTTGATTCAAATAGCTTTGTTTGAATGTGTTTGACTTTCACTTCATTCAATTAGCTTTGCATTAATGTGGTTTGATTAGGATTTTTCCCTACCAATCATCATCTGACAAGTGGACCAATCAAGTCCTGCCATGTGTCCGCCACATGGGCCGATAGGAGTATGCCACGTGTCTGGCGTTGATCTGTCCACCATGGACCTTTTGTGTCATGCCACGTGGCCTCCATATGCCAAGCAGGCCACCTAGGCTCAATTTCCGAGGGAAGCCCAGTCAGCCCTAGGTTAACCAAAACCTAGGATTTGACACGTTTCCTAAGGTTATAGATACTCTAATTAATCCTCATTAGAGGGGGATTCTGATTAGGGGATTTTTCTCCCACCAATCGGAATGCGCCACGTGGGCCAACCAGGTCCTGCCAAGTGTCCCCCAGTTGGACCTCTCAGGGCTTGCCACGTGGCACACACTTATTCGTCCACCCTGGACCTATTATGTCATGACACGTGGCATACTCCATGCCTAATGGAGAAGTCGGCCACCAAGGCCTAACTTCCGAGGGAAGCCCAATCAGCTTAAGGTTAACCTAAACCTAGGATTGGCACGTTTCCCGAGGTTATAAATACCTCCCTTAATCCTCATTAAGGGGGATTACGCAGATTACACACATTAAACACTCTCACCTAGAGAGACCCAATCACTTTAATTTCCGCATTAATTACTCCTTAATCAAGTACTAACTTGACCGTCGGAGACAGATCTCCAATCATTCAGAGCATCCGTTTGTTTTGCAGGTACAGGCGTCCGGTTCCAGTCTCGGAATTGTAACTCTCCCGCAGGACATCAGAAAACCCCGAAACATTTTTGGCGCCGTCTGTGGGGAGAGTACTTCTGAGATGGCATCCACGTTTGTATCGGCTCCTGAAGAGAGACGTCCTCTGGACGACTCTCTAGTTTAGTTGGACCACGATACTGAGAATGAATTTGAAGTTGAAGCTCACACAGCTTCAGACGGGACCCTAAGGGCCCGACGTACCCGTCATATCGAAAGGAGGGAACGGGAACATCTTCAAACTGGAAGTGAGCCAGCAGGCGCACCGCCTGTTCGGCAGCAGCCGACTGATGGGTCTGCTCCCATCACAAGGAACGAACTCATGACCTTCATGAGGGACTTCAAGGGAGAAATTCACGAGTTGATCAACAAGAAGCCGCCTGCTCTGGACAAGGAGCAGTCGGCTAAGAAACCCTCCACTTCACGGAAGAGGAAGCCAGTTCAAGGGCGAGAAGCGACCCCTCATCCTAAATCTAGGAAGTGGGAGCCGCCTGCCCTTGATTTCACAAAATACCGTTTTCCTACTCCAGGAAAGAGGAAACCTGTTCGTCATATTCAGGCGGACGGGTCGAGGAAAACATACACAGATGCTCGGCTACTGCTAGAGCAGAAGAAGAGTGACCGATTGTCAGAGTCGGCCTCTACTTCAAACTTCCAAGACAGTCTGCGCAATACCTCGATGAGGCATACTCAGTCGTATCATGAGAGTCAGTCAGGCGGCACCTCCCGTCAGTCCGGCTTTCATAGCGACCAGGCGGTACCAAACTTACCGTTTGTAACGCAACAACAGTATTTTGTTGCATGTCCAGCAAAAAATGTCCAACCTATGGACTGGCAGCTACGGTTGCTTAGACTTGGTAAACAGCCGTCGGCCTTCTCCAAGGAAATTACTGAAGCCGCTCAGCCGACCAAAGTGAAAAATGTATTAGTAGGCGCCTATGACGGCACTACTAACCCTGAACACCATTTGATGGCATTCACCAACCTGATGTACCTTCAAGGGTTGGATGATCCCACTTGGTGCAAGTGTTTCCTAGCGACTCTCAAAGGAAACGCACAACAATGGTTCGGCAACCTGCCGACTGGTTGTGTAAATAACTTCAGGACGCTTGCTTACTTATTCACCTCAGACTTCGCCATGAACATCCCTTCGAAGAAGACGACCCTTGATTTAGGAACGATTCAGCTGGGCGAGAAGGAGGGGCTTTGTTCTTACATCAGGAGGTTTCACCTGATGAGAATACAGATTCAAGGGTTACCGGATGAGGTAGCCTATACTGACTTTTTCAGAGGTCTCAAAGACGGGTCGACCTTCAAATTTGATTTGGTCTGAAAGAGGGTGGCGACTCTTCAAGAGGCCTTGATTGAAGCGGAAGCCTATATACAGGCGACTTATCTTTGTAGTACGGTAAAACAGTCGGACGGGAAAAGGTCCGACAAAAGAGAAGGACGACAGAAACAGTCGTCAAACAAAGATGAGAAGAGAAAAGAGGTCTGGGCGGCTGATTCCTCTAAACTGCCGGCCCAGAAGAAGAAAAAAGAATTCAAACCATACTCCCCAAAGTATGCGTTTAAGAAGGATAGCCAATTTATCCTAAAGGAAATCAAGGGACGGATCTCAATTGAGAAGCCGGTCCCCATGAAGGGTTCTGCAAACAACCGGAACCGAGAAAAATTCTGTCATTATCATGAAGATGTTGGTCATCACACCAATGAATGCATCAGTCTCATGCGGTATCTGGACCGCCTGGCTGAGCAAGGTGATCTTGACACTTATGTCAAGAAATCTACGAGGAACACTTCCTCGAAAAAGCAGTCGGCCAAAAAGAATCAACAGGCCGACAGCTCCGATACAGATGATGCAGTCGTCTACACCATTGCAGGCGGCTTCTCAGGAGGCGGCCCCATTATTAGGGGCAATAAAGACAATATCAGACGGCTAGATGTAAATTCCGTTCACTAAGAACGGCCCTCCAAATATTCATTTCCTGAGATTGTCATCACTGAAGAAGATCTAGGAGGGGTAAGAGGGCCGCATGACGACCCTATCGTTATTGAATGTAAAGTGGCCAACCAGAGAGTTGGCTGAATCCTCATAGATACCGGAAGCTCCTCAAATCTCATCAGTAGCAAATGTCTGTCGAAACTAAAATATCAGACTGATTGCATACATCCGGCATCCCACCCTTTAGTAGGGTTTGGAGGAGGAGGAGTCCTCCTAGTGGGACGAGTGGATTTACCCATCCGCCTGGGTGAAAAAGGGGAAGGACGACACATGGTAGTCCGGTTCCTGGTAGTAGAAGAACTCTCGGCCTACAACATGATTCTGGGACGACCAACCCTGAATAATTCCAAGGCTGTTATAATGGAACAGTCGGGTCCCTAAATGGAGATTAGAGGATGGCCCGAGAGTGCTATCTCTCGGATGTCAAGCCCACTTTTATGGCCGCTAGGTCGAGTGGTGGAAAAATAGACCTTGGCAATGTCAAGGAGAGTGCGCCTGTTCAAGAAGCAGGCGGCAAGAAGAGAAAGGCATCCCAGACGGGGGCCGCAAGAAAAGACAGAAAATAGCAATCATTGGCAGAAGAGC